ACCTTATTGGGCCTAAAGCCCATTTCGAACTGGGCTGATTTGATCAGTTAAATAAGGGGCGAATTCTGATATTTGATTAGCAGATAGGATTGGGTCTTAACCCTATCCATTCAGAGAGTCCAGATCTGAAGAAACCTCCTAATAGGATTAGGAGGGGGCTGATCTAATCTGCAGATAAGATAAGGATTTATTCTTATCAATTAAAGGGAATTCTGATCCAAATATGATTTGGATCAGCAACTCCTAATGGGATTAGGAGCTTATCCCTTTAAGCTTATAAAATGAGGAGGGGGCAGCAACCTTTAGAAGACACATGTTTACATCCTTTTCAGAGCTGAAATTATAGAAGAAAGAATTCAGCACCTCTGTGCAAATTCTTTCTTGCCGCCTCCTTGCTGCCGCCACATCTTCTAGTTCGATCTCCTCTTGTCAGTTGGAGTGATCAAGATTAGATCTTGATATCAGTCCTTTGTGAAAGGGTTGATTAAAAGTAGTGCTCACGTGCCATCCAGCTAATTCTTGCGAAGGATCCGGTTCTTGTGAAGAACGCTGTTGATTCTGCTCCATCCTGCACTGCGCCATCTTCAGTGGGAGTAGTTTTTTATTCCTTCCTTGGGCGTGAACACCTTCATTTGGAGATACTATTTCTCCGTATCAGGTATATCCCTTTGCTACTGCTGCTGTTTAGATCTGGTTCGGTTCATGGTTCAAGGTCTTTGAAAAATATGATTTTTTTCTAAAATAGAGAATACGATTCCCAGTAGGGTGGAGAGAAATTTTTGGAATTCGCCCATTCTATTCCGCAAGATTCGGGCGTCCATACGGTTGTGTCTAAAGCAGAATGTAGAAAAACTCAGGAAAGAATAGAGGAAGATGTAGAAAGTTAAACAGCAAATGGAAAGAGAATTAAAAAAATAATCCTTACCATAATTGCAACTAAGACTACTTGTTAAAGCTAGCTCCTAATTAGATTGAATATAATAGACTTGAAAAAATACATACTTGTCAACAAATACCCAAGATCACCAAAGTAACGCATGGTTAGAGAAAATAATAATTATTAAATATCTCTTTATAGAAAACCTTCTTGTTAGATTCTTCTACCAGTTGTCTTGGCTTGAAGGCCATAGCTTTGTGGCTCCATAGAATTTGTCTTTTAACAACTTAAACATTTCCTTTTTATTCTTTTTTTATTGGGTTATCCAAAATCGGTCAAATATATCTAGCCATGAGATCTATTTAAACCCAGTTCATAGCCGTTGTTATGAAATACTGAGATTGACAAGTGAGTTGACCAACTATAAGTAGTAATATTAGTTTTACATTGCTTTTTTTTCTTTGGTAGGTGACGTTGTCAAAATTAAATTACTAATGACGTGGAAAACTCTGGGTTAAACATAGTCATTTTCCCTATACACCCATAAAGCACGCTAATCAATTAAGTAAAAGCCAATTAATTATTTTCTATAGTGACATGGTATTTTTATACGATTGCTCTTCTAGCTCTCACTCTTTATAAGCTAGTGTAATAGCTTATTGCCATATGATAGTGTAATATAATTTATTTCTCCTGGTAAAATATGTTAGAATGTTAGTCATATTTTGTAAGTATAATTTAAGGAAATTTTTTAAGAAATATAATATTTATTGTAAATGAATAAAATATATAATTGATTTAAGTTATTGTGATGTGTTTCTATATAATATTCTTAAATTGGATATTTACGAGTCTCGTATTAATTTAAAATTTTCACAGCCGTTGAATTGATCTTAGAGATTTATGCTGTCAAGACTGACACCGTACCGCCAAATTGGTTGATGTGGCTTGTTTCAACCTASAGGATGAGACGTGAAGTATTGTTTTTAGCGGCAATTGATTAAAACTGCCATAAAGACTCACCAACTATCGCTAGAAAAAAGCAAAAAGGCGCGGGTTTTCCTCCCCCTCTCTCTCGCTCTTTATCTCAATCTCTCTCAGTCCTCTCTCTCGCTCTCTCTTTCTCTCTCGTGCTCTCTCTCTCTCTCACAGTTGTTCTCACGCTCTCCTTGCTCTCTATCTCAATCTATCTCACACACAGTCGCACATCTCAATCTCTCGCTCTCTATCTCAGTCACACATCGGCGGCATCTGATTCAGGTAAAAATCCCTTTCTCTCTGTTTTTTAGGTTTTTTATTTAAAAAAAAAAATCAATAGTCGAGCAGCTCACCAAAGAGCTGATCTCAGAGTTCAATGAGGCTTTCAGTCTCTTCGATAAGTAACGTCATTGAACTCTGAGATCTACTCTTTTGAATTTGAATTCAATTTGATCCTATTTTGTCGGATTCATATATATTTCTATCAGATTTTTGAATTGGATCTGATAAAAAATTAGGTTCTATTTTAAAATCAGAACGAATTTGATGTATATTGATTTTTTAAAATAAAAATGGTTGAAAAAAATGCTTATGTTTTTCTGCATGTTTTTCCTTGTATAAACTGTTTTATCTTTTTCTATTAATAATTAGTTAAATTCTATAAGTAGCATTTGTATCTGAAGAAGGTTTCTGGGTTTGGCTACACCACAGAACTTGTCTTACAATAATTTGAGTGGCCTTATTCCCAAGTTTCCTGCACCATCATTCAAGTAAGTTGCTGCTAAGTTTGAGTGGCCTTACAATAAACTGTTTTATTCTCATTATATTCTGATCCCAAAGCTAGCATATATATAGAAAAGCTCTCCTAGAATGCTTTCATGTCTAAACATATATTGCACACCTTCTCTTCCATCTTTAACTGTATTTGGTTTCTAAAATGTTATCTCTTTGATTATTATATTACATTGATAAGTTACTGTTTTCTTACTGCTGGTTGCTGAATTAATATAATACACTATTTATTCTCTCCCTCTCTCTCTCTCTCTGATATACTCATTTAGTAATCACAAGGATTTGCCAATTAATTATTGTTGTTGACATCAACAAATTGAAATAGAGGTAAGTTTATAACACAAACTTGTAGTGATTGCATAAGGTTAATTTCATCCTCCCATGAATCAAGTGATAACAAATTCGTCTTAAAAACTAGGCAATTAATTCCATCATCAAGGTATCACTATAGACGTCCAAATCCACCTTCCCCCAATACTCTTGAATCATCAAAGTTATCGGTAGCTCTCTCTATTTCACCTGCACTAAAAGTTCTTTTAGTTCCTGTATATGTTGCAAAGCTACATCCAAAGGATAGTGATGCAGAACTGGCTCCACTTCCAAACATCATAGATCCAGCAGCCTGTAGAAATGAATATTCGATATGTACTATTTAACCAAAAAAATAAAAAAATAAAAGCAGTTATAATGATAAGAAATATTAGCAGTGCTTTACTTGATGGCTTAGCTAGGGAAGGTACAAAAGCTTCAATGGTGGATGCAGGTTGACTAGAATGTCATCCACATTTCAATATTAACACCCAAGCGGCTCCAACACAGAATGCAATGGCTATAACAGATAACAGATTATTAGTTTCTATTAATCTCTCTACATGGGGACCCCCTTAGACTTAGCTAAGGCCATCCTTCCACAATTGGTTAGGTTTTAAAATTTGAATTATTACTTCTAGAAGATGGGCCATAGGGGAGGGGGAGAGTACAAAATAAGTAACAATTTGTGTTCCTTCACTTTCTCAAACAGAGCTGTTTGGCAAGTTCAAGATCTTTTTTGAGGTTACCAAGAAAAGGAAGTTTTGAGGTCACCATTGATTTTATGTCGCCAATTCTATGTTTTTTTTTTTTTTGCAGATTTCATGAGAACTCCATTGAGAGTATGCGACAATAATATTTCAAATAAACTGAATTGAAAATTTATTCCATTTCCACTTTGAGATTCAATTGCAGCAGCCTAATGTAATGTAATGACTGTGTATAACTATTTTTGCTCTGGTCTCTTCCTTGGCTCAGTCCTTAGTTGAGAAGTAATTGCAAGTTTGCAACTTGGGTCAGGTTAGGCTGGGTTGGAAATTTGTTGAACTTTCGGTTGGGAAACCCAATTTACAAATAAAAAAAACCGAGGATTGTAAAGATAACTTATGTGTTTTTTTTTCAGAACTTATTAATTTCTAATAGTTAGATTAGTAGGGTCTCTCTTAACCTTAGCTTTTTTTACTTTGTTAATAACAAAATTATTCATAGTTATCCATCTTAAGGGTGATTAAGCAAATGGCAGATGCCAAAAATAATAGTACTTAATTATTGCTTTATTAATTGAGGGTAAAATTATAAACAAATTATTTATGAGGACAATTAATTAATAGCACTACTTTTTGTTTTGACATTTATCGGGGGCTAATGCAAGCTGCATGGAGTCAAATTTCATCAAATTGATGTATACTTAATCATAATTAGGGTTAAAGTTGACACCATCTAAGGAAATTGTGAGATTTTCCAAGTCTACCTAGAATTTCCTAATGTTGTGTTTTCTCCAATGAAGTCACTAAATAACACAGGTTCCTAGCTCACAAAAACCATCTTTTTCTCTCGACCATTTCAATGGAAACTCTAGAATCTTACTCCATATAGATTCTACAACCTAGATAATGTGATTTGATCCGGGATAAAAGAATATAAAAGACTTCAACTCCAATGGTAATGCAAGTTGATCATCTATGTTGCACAGTAAACTTTAATTCCATGCATTTTAACCATGAAAGATTTTCATCTCAGCCTTAATCCCAATTTCTAACCTTAGGAGTACTTAACTATTCAACATAGATGTATTCTGTTACAAAGAGTCACCTTACTGCAATAAATGGACAAACATAGATGTATGTCTTCATCAATACATCATCCTGTACTCATGGTAGATTCAGCCCAAAACCAGCTCAGCTCCTGTAAATTGGTGCCAGAGCCCTTTCTTCTGCCAAGTTGGCATGATGTGGCAAATCCAGACTATAGATCGATCAGATAGAAGACCTTATCCAATCCACATCATCAGCCCTGTATTATTCACCATTTATGGAGCTTTTTCTCCATCTGTATTAGGTGCCAAAAGCCAGCTCCACCCTTTTGAACTTCTGGACATAAACATGACCCAGGAATAATAATAGATGGGAAAATGGGTATAAGAATTCTCAGTGACTTAGACTTCTTGTTCCCAGATAACCCATCTATTTACAATGGATAAAGAGTAATTGCAGTTGTTTCTTCTCCATCTCAGGACATTTAGCCAATTAGCCCAACAAACAATAAAAGCATTCCACCCCAATAAAATGGTGAATATGTTTGCAGCAGTTAAAATGTGCTTTCTGGAGGACATGCAATCTTTTCTTGGAGGCTGGGATTTGAAACCATTAAGTAAGAATGGAAGAGTAGCATGGAGCGTCATACCTGTGACAGTGTTTGGGTGGTGTGGGATGAAAGAAATGCTAGAATATTTGAAGGAAAGAAAGGCTTAGTTTAAGAGGTGATAAAGAGGAATATGAAATGCTATTTTTGTGATTGGCAAATCATAAATTATATAAAGGAAGAAACTAGAGCTCTTATTTTCGGAAAATCTTTTTTTTGGAATATCTAATACAATAGAATACTCCACAGTTTCATAAAAAATATAAATGATATGGAAATGGAAGAAACTGGTTTGTTTCTCCATGGATTCTTTCCTTTTTCCAGGGTCTGCATCTCAAGTTTATGACTTATTAGGTCCCAAGTTCTCTTTCTGGGAAAGATGAGAACTATGATAGCTAGGTTCCTATACAGAGCGCTGTATTGTCCCGGATACCATATCCGTCTGTATCCTTTCTGTATTTGTGTAAAATGACATGATTTCAACCTTATGCCAAACAATCTTTGTGGACCTCACAAGACATTCCTTCCTAAAGTTTCTAGGCATCCTAAAGCACATTGTTAAACTTATTAGGATCTACTAAATAAATTAAAATTCAAGAATTTCTTCAAATCTGAAAACTATGGTAGTTTGCAGAAATGCCCTCCAATGCCTAAAAATCTGTAATTCAACGACTTCTTTTGTGTTACTGCACCCTTCTCCTGCATTCAAGCAATGGAACTTACCATGACAACTAGTTTACTTTCCAATGATGCCCTGAGAGATTCCATCTTCCCCTTCAACACTAGCAAGACCAATGACCCAGTCAAGCTGTATAAGTTTAATTGTTGATTCCATCAAAATACAGATCAAATTTCCAAGTTATCAGAAAATGATTGAGAACCAGAATGTAAAGCAAGTCATTTATTTTCTGAAATCGTACAAAATTGGACCTCAAGATTTTTTAAAACGTGTGGTCTGTCTCCATACTCTTGGTGTGACTAAATTGAAACCCTTACTTTAAGGATTTGTGCCATGTTTGTTCTTCTATACTTGTATATTCTCTCCTCTGAATGATAGTACCAGAGCCCAGCCAGCTCTCTCTTCTATACTTGTATGTGTTCTACAAGGAGGAGGAGTACTGTAACATGGGCTCACACATGAAATGGGCTGCAGCCTGTATGCCCAATAGAATCAACATGATTGGATGAGACATCTGAGAGGACTTGTCGAGGAGGCCGCCAATGGGTTTTTGAAGGTCCAACTTTGTCTACTAAATGAGCCAATGAAAATAGAAAGGGAATGGTGGGTGTGGGTTCACCTATTAATTCCATGCATCATCTACAATAGTGCCAACACTCTTAGGTTCTTAGCTACTAATTAATTTTGTAAGGTTCTATATATTCTAGTCCTTAGTCACCACCAATGACCATAGTGTTATTCAAGCGCAACAAATTATCTAGGATTTACAAGTTCGAAGATAGTTTGGTTTGGGCAGAAAACCAGTGGGTGAGAGTGAGACTAAGGGAGACAGAAAGGAGTACAAGTGTCAGGTGATGAACCCATACCAAGTTGTGAAAAAATTCTTTACATTGTGCAGCTTTGGTATGGGTTCACACTTTTTACTTTCATGTTACAAACAAGGCAAAGGTTGATCAATCTATATGCTTGTTGTAACATGATTTGTTTATTAGTTTCAAAGAGTTCATGTAACACAGCTGAAATCAAACCTGGAAAGGTCATGTTTCATCAAATCAGAATCAGACCCGTCCTATCCCAATGTAGTCTATACATGTCTCTGTTAGTGGTTATGTGGCCTATTTGACTAACCTCCCCTATGGATGAATGGCATGTGAGGGTGTTGCAGTCATGAAGAAGCCAACAACCCAATGAATGGCTTATTCACTAAAAGACGAAGCAATAAGCCATTCAGTCTGCCATTAGCAGACCCCATAGTTGTCAAGGCACCTAGGCAAGCCTAGGCAACTACAAGGCATCCAGGTGCCTTCTCATTTTCCTTTTCTCTAATTGGTTTAGAGCTCAAACCCTAGAGAAAGACTAGAAACTTCTCCACAATCAGTTGACTCCACAAGGTTTGGGGTTGAGATTCTTCCGAATCGGAATTCAAAGGAAAGTAAGTTTTGAAATTCTTCTTGAAATCCTTATCCATTATTTTCATTCATATCACAATTGATCTCTTGTCTTTTTTCATTAGGGTGTAAGATGGACAAGAGTTGGATTCACCGATCAAGAACTTCTAAAGAGTATCTAGATGGCGTTGATCAGTTCATTAGGTTTGCTTTTAGGAAGGCAGACCGCGAAGGAAAAATTCGATGTCCTTGTACAAAATGTGGAAATGTTTTGTTGATGGATCAAGTTGATGTGAAAGATCATCCAATCATAAATGGGTTTCTTCGAGGTTATACGGAGTGGGTATTTCATGGAGAGTCAATTTCTGTGCATACGACATATAATGAGTTTCGTTCTTCTGATAACCCAATTGTGTGTGATGATGTGCATGGGATGATTCATGATGCATGTGTTCTTCCTACAGTGGAACAATGTGATGAAATGATGGATATTCCAGTACAACCTAGTGGAGGGCCTAATCCTGATGCTTAGAATTTTTTTAATCTCTTACAAGATGCTGAACAAGAATTATATCCAGGGTGTACAAGATTCTTAAAGCTTTCGTTCATTGTTAGGCTATTTCATATGAAGTGTTTGTATGGATGGAGTAACAAGTCATTTACCGAGTTGCTTGAATTGTTGAAGGAGGTGCTCCTAGAAGGTAATCAAGTACCAAGTTCTTTCTATGAAACAAAGAAGATGATAGGAAGTCTTGGACTTAAGTATGAAAAGATTGATGCATGTTGTTTTGGCAAGAACATGCTAATGATGAGATCTGTTCTATGTGTGGTGATTCAAGATGGAAGCCAAATGGCAACCATGAGAACAACACTAATGGGGCAGTTGGTACAAGGGAGAGAAAGATTCCTGCAAAGGTCCTACGCTATTTTCCTCTAAAGCCAAGGCTGCAACGTCTTTTCATGTCAACTAAAATGGCATCTCTTATGACTTGGCATGAAAATGGACGTATCAAGGATGGCTTCATGAGACACCCTGTTGACTCTCCTACTTGGAAGGAATTTGATGCTAAGTATCCAAAATTTGCAGCTGAACCTCGCAATGTTAGGCTTGGTTTGGAAAATGATGGCATAAATCCCTTCAGAACACTCGGTGCCACATACAGTACATGGCCAGTGGTATTGATCTTATACAATTTTCCCCCATGGATGTGTATGAAACAGCCCTATTTGTTTTTGTCATTGATTGTTCCTGGTCCAAATGCTCCCAGAAATGATATCGACGTGTACTTACAACCCGTTATTGCTGAACTCAAGGAATTGTCGGAGGATGGGGTTGAAACATATAATGCATCTACTAATCAGAACTTCCAACTGCGTGTTGCTTTGTTAACAATAATAAATGACTTTCCTGCATATGGCAATTTATCGGGTTGGAGTACCAAAGGGAGGTTTGCATGTCCATCATGTAACAGTGAAACTTGCTCTCAATGGTTGAAGCATGGTCAAAAGTTTTGTTACATGGGCCATCGACGATTCTTGGATACCAACCACAGATTTCGATACGAGAAACAATCATTTGATGGAAATCAAGAGTTTAGGGTTGCACCTACTCCACCAAGTGGCACTACTGTATTGCACCAATTAGACGGATTGCAGTTCACACTTGGAAAAAAGGACCAAGGTAATATTGGGGGAAAAAGGAAACGCAACACTGAGTTGGAGAGTCGTTTCTTTAAATGGAAGAAGAGGAGTATATTTATCCTATTACCGTATTGGCAGCACAATTTGTGTCGTCATAATCTTGATGTGATGCATATAGAAAAGAATATATGTGACAACCTAATAGGGACCCTCTTGAACCTTGATGGTAAGACAAAGGATAATGTAAAGGCACGCTTAGATCTGAGAGTAATGCGAATAAGGCCCGAGCTTCATCCTCAACAACATGGATCAAATTTTGCATATTTGCCCCTTGCGTGTTACTCCTTATCTTCTGCTGAGAAGGAAGTTTTTTGTAGAGTATTGAAATCAATTAAGGCTCCGGATGGATATGCATCCAACATATCCCAGCGGGTGGATGTGAGGCAACGCAAAATTTGGGGTCTCAAAAGTCATGATTGTCATGTTTTAATGCAACAGTTGCTTCCATTGGCCATGCGGAGAACATTGCCTAAGAATGTGTACTCCTCTTTGACTGAGCTATGCAATTTTTTCAGGAAGTTGTGCTCAAAAGTATTGAACCCAGATGAGTTATGCAGAATGGAGAGGAAGATTGCACTAATACTTTGTCGTCTAGAGAGGATATTTCCTCCATCATGGTGCATTTAACAATACATCTAGCACATGAGGCTAGTATGTGTGGCCTGGTACAATTTCGTTGGATGTATCCAATTGAGAGGTAAATCTTTATATTTATTTCAATGTTTGATATATTTACACACACAAATTTTATTATTTAAAATTTCATTCTCTCTATCTAGGTGCCTTGGAAAGCTGAAATCCTATGTCCGCAACAGAGCATATCTAGAAGGCTCTATAGCAGAAGGTTACTTGGCTAATGAATGTCTAGCTTTTTGCTCATGGTACCTACATGGTGTAAAGACTAGGTTTAATAGACCAATAAGAAATAATGATGAGGCAAATAATGGAATGCAAGGATTCTCAATGTTTAAGATGTCGGGTCGTCATTTAGGAAATGTTGATTATATCCAATTAAATGACATCTCATGGGCCCAATCACATTGATATGTGTTATTCAATTGTGACAAAGTGATTCCCTATATTGAGTAAGTTTTTGCTTGAATATGACTTTTTAGATTGATAAGTAAACTTTAATCTTAAAAATTTTAAGAATACTAACCTTAGTTTCATGTAGACAACATGCTACAATTATCAAGCGTCAACATCGACGTACCCGTCTAAGAGAAAGAGAGATGCAACAAATTCAAAATACAAAATTTCATGAATGGTTTAAGTCACATGTAAGAAACTTCTTGCACTATGCAACTTCGTACACCTTGTTTGTAAACACAAATCCATCTCAAGCATTTGTTTTTGTGTGTTCGTTAGGTTGCAAACCTTGAATCAAAAAATAATCGTCAAATTTCAGAGGGGATTAAATGGTTGACTAAAGGTCCATTGCGTGAAGCGCAGAGGTTCAAGGGGTTTATTATAAATGGTTTTAGATTTTGCACCAAGGATCGTGAACGACGACGAAAGACACAAAATAGTGGGGTGGTTGTCATGGCAAAGACATCAAGTTTTGCCAGTTCAAGAGATAGAAATCCAAATTTCTGGGGATGTCACTTATTATGGAACATTAACCGACATCATCGAGTTAAATTACTATGAGAAGTTTAGGGTTGTATTATTTTGACGTGATTGGGTTGATGTAACACAAGGTAGAGGAATAAAACAGGATGAGTATGGCTATACACTAGTTAACCTCTCGCATTTAATGCGTAGTTCACAGTTAGAGGACGAGACATTCATTTTAGCCTCCCAAGCCCAACAAGTTTTTATGTGAAAGACCCTAATGAAGATAATTGGAGTATTGTTATGAAGACAATCCCAAGAGATTTATTTGATATGCGGGTCGAAGAGCTTGACGGAGATGATGATTTGAAAGTTGAGCCACCCAGAACACATGTAATGGAAGACACTCCTGACGATAACATTGATTGGGTTCGTGATGATGTTGATGGAACAATTATTGAGGCAACCATTTCCAATGATGAAGATGATGATGTACATGAGCCTACATATGAGGAAGAGTCAGAGGATGATACCTTTTATGACTACATCTGATGTTGATCAGTTTGCATGAATTAAAATGTGGTTCCTTATATTTATTTGTACTTTTAAGAGAAATCACACCTCGTGTATCTCTTTGTGATGTTGTAACTTTGCTTACATTTTGGTAATAAAGTAACTTTTTCAATATTCAAAAAAAGATGTATGTGATAATAGATATGCTATTCTAGTATGCTTGTGCAATTTAAATTATTATGCTTGTATTATTCTATTATGGTAGACATGCGATCTGAATTTAATTGAGAATGTTTGTTTTCTTTCTCATAGGAAATTATGGCTGAAGATACTGTTGGTTCAACTGGTATTATTTTATGAATAACTTTTTATTTGGGCCTTATTTTTTATTTTTATCATATTCACTTTGAATATTTTAACTTCTTGTGTACTATGAAATAGATGCCTCAGTGCAAAGGAGGGGCAGGGGCCCCACAAGAGCTGTTGACATATGGAACTTGCCAACAGGAGAAAAAATCCCCATAACATTAAATGAATTAGGCCAAGGAATTGGAGAAAATACAAAGAAATTAGTTAAGTTTATGGGGACAATTGCAAGGAACAGCGATCTCTGTCCTCTGGGTTTCAAGCAGTGGACTTCATTTCCAACTCCACGTAAGGAGGACATTTGGAACCTTGTAGTAGTATGATTTTTTTTAATTTAGGTTTGCTTATTTGTTTGAATTCATAAATTAATCGCTAATACATTGGCTTAAATGTGTTCTTTGTAGGGTAAATTTGAGATAGACAATAAAGGTAGAAAGTGGGTATTGTCCTCAATTGGAAAAAAATGGAAAGATTACAAGTCAGATTTGAAAGCCATGTACTATGATCCAGTTACCCCTGATGAGGCAATGCGGAATTGCCCAAATAGGGTTCCTAGCGATCAATGGCAGATTCTTGTCGCTTTTTGGAACTTTGATGAGGGCAAGGTATTATCTCTTAATTATATTGATTAGCCTATATTGTTTGAGTGTCACAATATACATGGCCTTACACTTTTAGTTTCTATAAAACTGTAGAAACGGAGTGCTATAGCTAGAGGAAATCGGTCCCAGCAAAAATACGCACACTCTGGGGGGGACCAAGAGTAATGCAAGAATGCATCATGAGATGGTAATACAATCAGCTAACTATACTACTACTTGAAAATGATGATAATGTCTAATGCTTAGTATGAATATAGATGCAGGAAACTGGTGATGGGGCACAACCAAGTAAGGGAGTTGTGTGGATTAAAACACAGAAGGAAAGATGGGGCGCCTGTAGATGCAGAATCAAGAAGGGCAATGGTTGTTTATTGAACTAGTGAACACACACACACGTATTTAATGTTAATTATATGTTTTAGTATAAAAATCCCATATTAGCCTCAACAATTATGTTGTCTTTTGTAGGAACAATTAGAGAACTTGGTATCACAACGGGCCACGACTTCTGGTGGGTCCTCAGTCCTTAATGACGATGACTTTGATCAAATATTTGGAGTGGAACGACATGGGTACGTGCGAACGTATGGGTTAGGCGTTACTCTTCCCACTCTGAGCATGAGTTGTAGAAATAGAGCATCAAAGTCTACATCAACAAGAGGAGGTTGTGGGCATGAGGATAGAGATGAACGACTCAGGTGGATAGAAGATAACCTTGAAAGGGTGACTAGAGCATGTAGTGATGTACAACACCGGGTGGGAAGGGTAATATCCATACTTCCTCAAAATCTTAAAGACATGCTAAACGATGATCAGGATTTACCTTTAAGAGGTGCAGAGGTAATATGTGTCTCAAAGTACAATTCCAAGATTGGCATTCTAGATGTGTTTACTGATATGCTTTCTTGTTTGCTATTATTGTTAGGTTCCTGATTGATCATCAACATGACTGTAGAGATTTCTTCCTCCTCTGCCTCTTCCTCATCTTCTTCATTGATCTTGTCTATGGAACTGGGTCCAACTCATTGATGTTGTCAGACCATTCAACAAAACTGAGCTATAACCTCTTCTGTTAAGTGGATTTTTAAGTAGTGTCTGATAATTAGAAATCTCATATCTGTGTCTTGGAGAACTTCCATTCTACATTGATGCAGTAGAAAAGAATGTTGTAGATACTCCTAAAAAGTCTCAACAAGTTAATTCTATAACTGTCTCCTCTAGAAGACCCGCGATCCTTGCAGATGGGGACCAACACAACCCAGAGTGCTGCCTCAGAAGTTGCTATCTCTCCTCCTTCCATTGTCTTAGGGTCCAGTGGTTTCTGGTTTCTTATTTCAGGGTTCTTTCATGGATTAATTTTGATATATCCATATAAGATTATAACGTTAGCCCGATAACATCCATTATCTTTTTTTTTTTTTTTAGGATTTTGGCTCCAACAACCCACTCATAGAGGACCTGCTCCATGCAGTCAAGAATCTCTCAGCCGAGCTCTACAACAAAGATGTCTACTTCCTCATGGAGCTCATTCAGGTCTCTCTCTCTCTCTCTCTCTCTAAAGAACCACTGCAAAAGTTTAAGACCTTGGATTATTTTAATCTTTTTATGTTGGTGCTATATGATTTGATGATTCTTATTTTTCCATCCTAAATATTCAATCAAACTCAAACAAGTGGTTTAGTGGGTTAATATTCAATCAAACCAAGCATCTAGAAATTTGTTGGGTTCTTAATTTCTTATAAATATTTTTTTCTCTTTCTCTGATAATTTTGCAGAATGCTGAAGATAATGAATACTTGCCGGATGTGGATCCCTCTCTGGAATTTGTAATTACATACAAGGATATCACAAGCACTGGTGCTTCAATATTTGAATTCCTTCCAGTTGAGGCTTCACCTTACCAAGAGCTCAACGGAGTTGGAGAATCTATCAGAACCAAGATGCAGGCTAAGGAATTTGAATTATGACTCTTTCCTGCTTTCCAAGATTACATATTGTCCTTTTTGGGAGTGGTAAATTTGAATTATGATTTATGACTGGCATGCAAAATGCATAGAAGGTTGCCATTTGGTTCAACAAGCTCCAGAAAACATTTATCTGAATCTTCTCTTCTTAATTTTAGAAAATTGGTGTTGTAGATTTGCATGCAGAACTCTTGCAAGTCTTCCTATTTTGAAATATGTTAATCAGTACAACAATGTCCTGCTTTCATTTAACTCTGCACAGACAACAAAACAGAGAAATTTTTTGTCAGATGATGAACATCATGCATGGGTAAACAAATGGAACATGGAACTAGGTTGCAGTAAGATGTTTTTATTGCCCAATTCCATTCAAATGGCACTGAGAAAGTTTCCTAGAAGAGATACTATGATTTCATGGCTGTACCATATTGCAAGAATACAAGAAATCACTTTGTTTGATTTTGCTCGACCTATTTTCACTTATCTCTTTGTAAGAAATTTATTACTAAACTAGAGACTCTCAAATTTGTTTGTCCATTCCTATTGTTAATTCATTTGGGGATGTAATAAGGATTAACGAATAGCAAGCAGATCCTTGTCCCAGCACAAGGTAGTAAATGGTTGAACCTTTTGGGCTCGAATCCATGGCCAGGAAGTTATGATGAATTGGGGGAGAAATATGGACAAAGTGCTGACTTTGCTGATGAACATACATCAGTGGAGATGCTTTATGACTGTTAAATCATATATCAAAGCTACTGATATTCCTGAATTCCTAGGTGATGCTATTCTATGATTTGAATTTTTCAACTTGAAAAAGGAAGAAGTTTCCTTGCTTTTGGAATGGATCAGATATTTGAGGACTAAATCTGTTGCGCTACCAAAGTTGTTCGATGAAAGCATAAAAACAGGGAGATGGTTGAAAACTTGCTCAGGCTATAAGTCGCATAGTCAGTGTTTTCTATCCAATGGAGAAGAGAAGTCTATTTTTGCTGGAATGCATGATTTTCATGTGAAGTTTCCTATTCTTGATGAAAGCTTTTATGATAATAGGCTACGTTTATACATGAGTGATCTAAAGTGCATTGGTGTCCGGTCAGGGTTAGCAGAAGCATGCCAACTTATCATTGAATACCTTATATCTCTGTCGAATTTACTAGTTTAACTAAGGAAGTTGCAATTCCATTGTTGAAATTTATTAGGTACTTGAATGAGAGGGATGTGCTTTCTGGTGACATCACAGTGAAACTTAAACAAAAAGTAACATTGAAGACTTCCCAAGGTTACAAATCTGCTGATCAATCTATTTTTATGTTACATGTTCCGGCAAGAGATATCCTTGCATTCATGGATGTAAAATACTATGGGAGGATGTTGTCAGTTACCGCACGGAGCTCATGTTACTTGGAGTGGAAGTGGATTTACAAAAGATATACATATTGCTGGTCAGCAACTTTAATGTGCCTCTAGATGCCGAAGTAACCACATTAAGCAGAGATAGGGCTGCTTCATATTCAATTCTTTGGGATTCTGAATGGGAAACTCTCTCAGATTGCTGATCTTCCTTTAATTGATGATTCTTACTATGGGAAGAGCATATATTCCCTAAAGAATGAACTGAAAGAATGGGTTTTGTGATTGATTTGGATGAGTGGTTTGATTTTGTAACAAAAGGTTTAAAATTTCCCAAGGGACCTAGGAAGGTAACACCAAATTATGCATTTCCGTTGCTCAAGTATATAAGGAGGATACACACAGTCTAGGACACAAGTGGGTCTACTTCCAGATTTATAGAAAAGAATTGCTTAGCTGACAAGAACCGGTTGAAAGCCAGCCATGGATACAAATCTGCAAAAGGCTCAATTCAATTTGACTCAAAATGGGGTTCACTATCCCAAATTTCTGATCTTCCTCTCATTGATGATGCTTTCTGTGGTAAGAAAATGAGCTGAAGATGATGGGTGTTGCTGTCGAACTCAGTGATGTATCACACTTTGTGGTCAATGGTCTCAAGTTTACAAAAGATCTTGAAGCAATAACAACAGAAAGTGTGCTTGCATTACTAGAATGTATCTGCTTTCTACTAGTGGAATCACCAAAAAGCCTGCCTGATGAATTTTGTCAGAAGATTAGAAGTAAATGGTTGAGGACAGTTATGGGTTACAGATGTCCAAATGAATGCCTTCTTTTTTATTCTAGATCCTTTTCCATAAGCACACGAAGGAAATATTGGGCATCTATTCTAGAACTTGAAGATTAACCATAGAAGCCTGTTTTGTTATCGGAGGAGCTTTTTATGTTGGCTCTATGAGTGAACCACTTGGTTCAGGCCTTCATTGACCAAAGGGGTATGGATTCATAAATGGTCTGAATTCAGATTTCTAGTAACCATAGAAGCTCTCATGTACCGTTTGTCTAGGAATTATGTAGTGTTCGAGTATTGAGTTCATGCGAGAGGGCCATAAGAAGCCTGCCTAAGGCCCATAAAGCATGTTCCTCCAAACCAAAGTAGTAGAATGCAATGGGCCATTTCCTATAATTGTACAATGATGTTATGAACTAAATTGTATTTGTGATTCAAACATTTTGAATGGAGAATGGTTGTTTAAATTTTATTGTACTTGGTGTTTTTTTGGTATTTTATTTCAGTTTAAATGAATGTAGAGAACACAGGTAATTCGAAGAAAATTAGAAAAAAAAGGTTTGAAAAAAAATAATTCCTTTTAGCGGCTGTCATGACTGCCACTAAAGAAATTCAAGACTACCGCTAAAAAGCATGCACCAAACTTATTGCAGTAGCTAAATTAGTTTTAGCGGCAGTTGCAACTACCACTAAAAAGACTTTTAGTGGCAGTTTTACATTTATACTGGCAGCTATCAAAATTGTCGCTAGAAACTTGTAGTGACACATTTTTTAGCGGCACTTTGCCGACTGCCGATAAAGTTTCTAGCGGCAGTTTTGCCTGCCGCTAAAAGTCATTTTTCTTGTAGTGATTCCAGTATTGCCCGGGACCTTGGAGATAGATGGGCAAAACAGGAATGTTACACCTGACCCCTAGACTCGATTATGATACTGCACTAGGTGTCGGATTGGGTTGTCTTTGATGTACCAATCAGTGAGATCCTTAGAGAGGGTCAAAACCTGGGTATGTTGGGACAATCCGAGAATTCATCCGAGTGGCTGATCATAGTGACAGGATCAGCCTCTTTGTCGGACAAAGTGAATGATCGGGAAATGCACTCTCTCTGATGGAAACCTAAACTACCGGTAGTGGATTTCAAATGTGTTTGAAATTTGGTTTTGCAAAATATATTTATATAAAGATATACTTATATGATATGGTTTCAAATTGTTTGCAAAAGGTTTTAATTCCCGGGATCCATGTGAGTAGAGAGTGCAGCACTGTACCTTGCAGCCAAGGGAGATGTTCTCTCTTGCCGGGCAGTGTTTGATCATTAAGGGCTGAGAGGTTAAGTGTAAGACCATTGAGGGTTATACCTGATGGGCTAATCTTGCATTTGCCACAGTCCTTGGGCCTTCATAAGATGGCTGGACCCAAGGACCATTTAGTGTAAATGTTGGGCCCATTAAGAGCCCATGGTGATGGACTCAGGGGTTCACTGTATTCAGTAGTGAATTCGGCCAGGCCTTGTAATAGAGGCTAGACTTAACCCATGTGGCTGATGTGTAGATCAATGTTAGGGTCCCACTTCATACAAAGAGAACCAAGCTAGCCAGCATTAAAAGGAAGTGAGCCTGAAAGCTGAATGGGCCTAAAAGCCCATTTCAAACTGGATTAATTAAATAGGGGTGGATCTGGGTTTGGATTAGCAGATAAGGATAAGAGGACAAGTCTTATCCACTTAAAGAGTCCAGATCCAAATAAAGATTTGGATTAGGAAACTCCTAATTTGATTAGGAATAAGCTGATATTTAACTGCATATAAGATAAGGGGTTGTCCTTAACACTTAAAGAGTTCAGATCCGAATAAAGATTTGGATCAAAAGACTCCTAATCAGATTAGGAGGTTGTTTCTCTTTAAGGTTATAAATAGAGAGCAGGGCGGACATGAAAAAGACACCAGACACAACACAGAGAGAAGACAACTCAATTGGACTGATCTTGCCTTGAATTCTTTTTCTTCCTACTCTTGCCGCCCTACCCTGTTCGATCTCCAGTTCTTGGATCTGATCAAGATTTGATCTTGATATTGTTTCTTGCTAGAAGAAACAATTTGAAGTTGTGCTCACTATCCCATTCGATTTTTGCTGAAGAATCACAAGTTCTTGGTAAAGAACTACCTACTGATTCTGCCTCATCCTAAGCTGTGTCATGTTCAGTGGAGGGAGGATTTGGTACACTGTTTGGGTGTGGGCACCTACATTGGGAGGAGTTTTTTGCATGGATTCCGTATCAGGCATATCCCTTCCTAATCTTGGTTTCAGATTTGGTCCGGTTTTGGTTACAAGAACGAACCTTGAAAATGCAGTTTTCTAAATTGGGAATAGAATTCCTAAAATGAGTAAAGAAATTTTTGAAATTTCGCCCAACCTTCTTGCAAAGTTCGTCCATCCATATGATGGATCTCGCATCCCCTTCAATATCCTACACCTATACCTGCTATTGATAGGCATTCATTATATAAACCTTTAACTTGGATTATTTACTTTATCTGTAGAGGTGTTCTTTCTTAATCTTATTGGGGTTTTAATTGTGTATTTTCCTTTTGACTTGTAATGTGAATGTCTTTCCTATTCAGGAAAAAAAAATTGGTATGTGCACTGGTTAGGTCTCCCTAGTGTCAGAACTATGAAGTTCTAGTAGAATAGATGGTTGAGAATTGCAATTGCTCTTGTGGTTGCTCTGCTGTTCAAGATACATATAATCAGTCTTAATCATTGATGAAATTTGATAAAATATAATATCACGGGCTTTCATTGAACTTGAATGGTTTGTCATGTAAATATATTTCTTTGTTTCCATTTTCCAAGTTCATGTGATAATACTTCAAAGTTTCCAAGGTATGATGCATTTTTTAAGAAGATTGGTTGTCGCATTAAAGAAAAAACAAGTCAAATTCTAAGGCATCAATACTATATCTCAAAATATCTAAGCTTTTTTGATGTTTTAGATTAGTTGCTTGTACTGGTTCTCTAGTTTTCTTTAGTTGAGCTCATAGTTGGGAGAAATTTGTTATTCAGATTTCTAAACATTTAAGGAAATTCTCTAGATATTATGATTGATCCAAAAATAAATAATTAAATAAAACATAATGATATCCATCTTATGTGATATATAATGTCATTTCTATTATGTACCTACTAATGTTTTATTTTCCTTGTTTGGTAGGTTGAAATATCATTTCAAATGCGTACATTAAATCTTAGCAACAACATTTGTTTCATGGAGAATACGATTGTTTTGAATGGCAACTTAAAGTGGGGAAGGGGCAAATTATGGACTTCTATACTTGAGCTTAGTTTTGTTGTAAAACATAGAAGCAAAAGTATCATTTCATGTTGTTTTCAATTTGAAATCAGAAATCTTTGAAATCAGAACTTTTACGAGGTTAATCTTAAGGAGAAATCCATTGCCTCATATTTTAGAATAAAAATATATGATTTATTGATGGAAAAGAAAAGAGAACAACTAAAAATCTTGAGTTCTCCACCATTAGTGTTTGACCTCCCTGAAGATTGATTTTGGGGCCAAAACTTCCTTTAATTGGCCTACCTAACAGCTTGATGATCATGATTCTGTTATAATGGATTCTTTTCTGTATGATCTCTTTATATTTGGAAATTGGAAGTGGACCATATGTGATTGCTGAATTACCTTAATTTTGTAATGATGAGATCAGGAATTTGATCCATTATTATTGATATTTGGGTTTGTGTCATCCTAAATTATGGTGTAGATGCTATTGTCCTATGGCATTACAAGCTTTAAGTGTTGTTGAATATCCTTCCAAATTAGGATATAGATGTCTTATTCTTCAAATGGAGAAACTTTGAATGAGCTAGTTTCTATGCTCATCAATTTCAACCTCTAGAAGAATTTAATTAGTAATTACTATTTTGAATGTTGCAGGTGGAGAAATTCATCTTCAGATAAGTGCAAGGTAAAGGTGAGGAGGGAGCTTAGAGAACCAAGATTTTGTTTTCAAACAAAAAGCGATGTGGATGTATGGATATAAACAGATGAAGTATGGACAGAAAGTTGTCAAAATGGCCTGCAGCCTAGGTAATCTTCTTATTGTGCTTTCTAAAATAATGAGTAGATATAGATACGTGAAACTACGAAAGATAAAGGCTTTACTATATAGCTGACTATATATAATCAGTCACCAATTGATCATATAGATAAGGAAGTAGAACATGGATTGTTTTTGTCCCTTAAGAGTTGTCTATTTTTCGCATACCATAACAACAGTCCCCCTTTGGTAGTGGATGGCATCTAGGGTTGGCATTGCTTGACCTGACCCACCATCCCAACCAGGTTTCTGAGTTTGGGTTGGTGGGTCCAGTCCTAGTGTTTAATACAAGGGTATAAGACTATACCTAAGTTTTCATAAATTGACTTAAACATACCCTGAAATGTAAACATACCACATGAACATTTTTTAACAAAAAACTTTCTTTTATAATTCACCAGAACTTGGAATCATTTCATCAACTCTGCATCTCGGGTGGTTGATGGTGGGGATTTTATCCATAATAAGGGCAGCCCAGTGCATGAGGCTCCCACCAATGCGAGGTCTGGGGAGGGACAGATGTATGCAGCCTTACCCCTGCACATACAGAGAGGCTGTCTCCAAGATTTGAACCCTGGTCACCTAGGTTGCAATGGAACAACCTAACTGTTGCACCAAGACCCACCCTTAGGATTTTATCCATAATAGTGTGCAAATAAAGAAAATGGTTTTGGATGGACCATAGATTTCCATGCCCACTTCCATGCTATTGAAAAGTTGTTTGATTCATTCAAGTTTTTGAAAAAATACCTGAGAATGAGCCAGATTTGGATGCAGTCCATCACACCCGATCCTCAGATCTAAGCTAGACTTTTTTTAGGAAAATGTATCCTACATTAAACCAAAAAGGGGGAAGGGATGTGCGTGTGGAGATGTAAAAACCGATGGAGCAAAAAGACAAACATAACAGCCCTATCAAAAAGATGGAAGGCTATTTTTACTATACAAACAATCCTTGGCCATATCAGATTTAGCCAAAATATCAGTTGTTTGTTTAATTCCCTAGGAATCCATCTTTAGTTGCAAAGTAGGGAAGAAGACAGTTCATAGGATCAAAGCTGTATTTGGATTTGATTAATTTCATCCAACAGAGTTAACAACTCATAACCTTCTGGTTCTAAGACTATCTTTGCAAAATTGGGGCCCAAACCACTTCCCCAGCAATAATTTCATAGCAGTTCCAAATTTGGGCTTCTTTGTTTAGGGCCATATTGAAGATGTGGGGATAAGCCTAACAAAGGAGTCTTAATCCACACCCGGTATCTTTCCAGAATGATATGCGCCTACCATTTCCTGGTTTAAAAGCAATGAACTTAGAGAATTCCTCTTACTTTCCTAATGGAGTTTTGTTCATA